CCTGCTGTAAATTAACAGAACATGAAGAAACTTGGGCTTTGGCCACCCAACCCTGAAAGATGAATGAATGACTGACTAGCCTCCGTCCTGGGCAGTCCCCCCACTTGACACCACTGCTGAGTCTCACTGCTGTACTATTAAACAAAGTCCTATGAGATCAGCCACCTGTGGAGGACACATACCAAGGGAGGCCAGGATGTCCAGAGTACGCATGGCTGGCTGGATGTAGAACCAGAGCTTCTGCAGTGACAGGAGGCCCTGCCGGTGCAGTTGTTCCAGCTGTGTAACCAGGAGCAGGTGCTCTTTCACTAGGGTTCTCATAGCAGCTGCCAAGGCATGGTTCACCTGCCCATACTCAAAGGAAGACTTCTCTTCAATGAACCTATGGGGAAACATATCAGACACCGTTGAAAAAGCCAGACCTACATTTCCATGTAAAAGGTTAGATATTTTGAGTTCCACTGTCAAACAGAAAGCAAATGACTCATTCAAGCCTATTATACCCACAGAGGATCTTTTGCCACTAAAAAGAGATGAGTCATGACATCAGGACGGTGACTCACAGGCCCTTTCAAAATCACATCCGCAGTGAAGCTGAGCTATCATCAGGGAGGGAAGAACTTTAGAAGGGGATGCGATCTAACCTGCCCTCCATAGTGCCAGCTCCTAGTGAGTGAGCATGTTGAGGTCAGGGCCGAGCCTGGGTCCCACCTGGTCACGGTGGAATAGCTGGCAGCCACAGGGAGGATTCTGTTCACCAGCTCCCTGATGGACAGGTCCAGGTTGGGGTCCACGAGGAAGGTCCGGCTGTGCCTCCCAGCCAGGGGCTGAGCAGTGATGTACCTGCCATCCACGCCCACCAGCACATAGAGTAGGTCTTCCACCACAGCTGTCTCCTGGGAGGCCAAAGGCAGTGTACCTGTAGGACACAGACACCGTTTGGTATCACGAAAGCACCCCCACTGACCTCCCCTGGATGTCATCTGCTGGTCACGAGTCATACCCTCATTCATTTCCTTCTTTATAATTCCCTCAGATATTATGGATACAAACAAACAAACAAACAAAAAATGCATTTAGCTTCCACTAATGCCACTGGGGAACCAGAGTGAGATTCCAAAATCATTGCGAGACAGAAAATGGCCCAGGAGGCGGTGACAGCATCTGGGCAGTGGCAGGGCCCTAACGCATACCAAGTTCTTCTCAAGCTGAGAAAAAGAAAATCTCCTGTGCTCAAATTCAATGGCTGAATTTAAAGAAAAAGGTAAGAGTTTATAAAGTGGGGCTGGTGGGTGGTACAGTGGTTAAGGTGCTGGACTCCCACATGGATGACCATGGTTCAAGTCCCAGACCTGGTGCCTTGCTTTCTCACTTTCCCTTTCTTTCTCTCATCTATTGCTGGTCAAATTAACAACAACAACAACAACAAAAAATAAAATAAAATGAAAGATTCTTATAAAAAAGGTTTATCGGGACCAGCAGTTAGCGTAATGGCTATGTCGCTGGACTCCCATGTAGTCAACCGCAGTTCGAGTCCTGGACCTAGTGGTTTAAACTCACACCTGGCACGTGTGCATGCGTGCCCAAGATCCTGAGAAGAGAAAGGAGAAGAAACTGCAGCATGGGATCCCCCCTGGGGGTGATTTCTTGCTTTCTGTCTCTCTGTCTCTTGTCTTTCTGGTGAATGCATGCGCCCTATAGCAAAAGCCTCTCAAAAAAAAAAAAAAAAAAAAAAAGGTTTTTAAGGCACTTCAATGTAAGTTGTACTTTCAGCATTTATAATTACAACTTGGTAAGTTTGGGCTGCTCTGGGACAAAAAAAAAAGTAAATAGGTTTGCTTTAAAAAGATAACCACAGATCAGCCAGTGGCGTGGTGGTTAAGGCAGCTGAATCTTACATGGCCTATTACAGTTCAAGTCCAAGACCCAGCAGCTTGCAAAAATGCACCAGGCACATGTGCATGCATGCCCAAGATCCTGAAAGGAAGGAGAAATAGAGAACAGACAATGGCGTGACCATCTCACCATGAGTGGGAGGTTGCTTTCTCACTCTCTGTCTCTCTCTGCTGAGTATATGTGCCCTCTGGCGAATTTAAAAACCAATTAAAAAGATACCACTTCGAACTTTGGTAAACTGATGATTTCTATCACACTCACAGTATGAGATGGCCACAGGAGGCACGATTCGGTTTCCTCATGACCACCTAACAGACCCTTGAGGACTGCCACACGCCATCTGCCAAGGCTGACTACAAAACCCCTCATGGCCAGGGCCGGTCCCTGGCCTTCAGTTCACAGCCCCAGATAAGCTTCATGTGCAAGCCAGAGCCAGCCACAGGAAGAGGACAGCAAATTGAAACTGCCCTGCACAGCACGCTACCTTGCTGTTCCCCCACAGGCCTGGTAGAGGACCACGTCAGCCAGTGCACACCCAACTCAGAGCCTGGCAGCCATACGACACGCTGCGGTTTACAAAGTCACTGCTGGTCTTACACATCTCCTGGGGAGGCAGTGTCTGTGGCCAACACAAGGCTCAGCACAAGTGTGATCAGGGTTGGGCATGAGTAAAACGACTGAGTCACAGTTTAGATCCACACCTCTGCCATCAGATGCTCTCCACTACTTCAGTGACCTCCTTGGGTCAGTCAGTAAACTTCGACTTCAATTTCTGTGATTCCTAAAGTGGTGAGATCTTACCTCGCACTTCCTGAATGGTTGGGGCATCTTTTGTTAACAGAAACTGCCTTTGACCCTCTACATTATTTCCCTCCCACCATGCTGCCCTTTTCTCTTGCTGCCATGAAGTCCTGCCTCCCTTACTTGTGCAGAAAAGCCGTTGGTGGTGGGAGGCAGGGACATGGTTGCTGAGCTGAAGGCCTTCTCTCAAAAGGCAGGGGGCTTTGGGAAGTCACCTGACCGCCCATGCCTCCATCTCCACATCATCATTTACATGCTTAATCAAATGGCCTATGACTCACCATCTTCACTCAAGCCATTGCTTACCTAGTGGCTCCTCTATGCCAGTGTGGGAAAAGGCAGTGAGCAAAAAGGGAACGTGTTACATGCTATACCAGGTGTGAGTGACAGAGAACAAATGCTGTTATATCTTTAGGCTGAGCTTTGAAAGAACACAGGAGTTGGTGAATAGTCCAGGGAAAGGGAATACAATGTACAAGTGCCCTGAGGTAGGAAAGCCCTGACCCATGCAACTGGAAAGCGGGGCCTGGTGGGGACGTGGAGGCCATGCAGGCCTGGCTAATGTGCCAGAGTCTCTGCAGCTCCTCCAAGGGCATGCAGGTGTCACTGGAGGGGCTCATGCAGGGAAGAGGCCTAACATTAAAAGATAGCTCAGGTGATAATGAAGAGTGAAATACAGGAAATGGGATGAGATGCAAGTCATAGCTGTACCACAAGACACATGGTCAAATTAAATAAAGTAAAAAGCCCATTCCTCACTCACACTTGCTACATTTCAATGCCCAATAGCCATGGGTGGCAGTGGAGCCACAAGGGGAGAGTGACCTTGGGCATTAACAGAAACAAGACCACCTAGAGACAGAGGACCCAACTCAGAAGAGAAAGCAGAAGGGGCCAGCAGGTGGCATGGTGGTTAGAGGCCGCTGGACTTCCATATGGTCAACTATGGTTCGAGTCCCAGACTGGCAGCTTGCTTTCTCACTTTCCCTCTCCATCTCACTTTCCCTCTGTCCCTCTCTGGTCAAATTAAAATAAATGAATAAGGTTAAATAAAATATTTATTTAAAAAGGGGGGGGGAGGCAGGAGGAGGAAGAAATGACAGAGGGAATGGGAAGAAATGACCAAGAGTAGTAGGAAGAGCCATAACTGCCATCAGAGCAAGGCACGACTCAGACAAGCACCTCATGGTGCCACCACTGCTGACAGGGTCACAAAAACCACTGAGACACATCTAGAGGGACAAATGACCAGCTAGCAGTGCCAACTGGACCCACAGGGCAGAGAAGGAGGTAGGTCCAGGGAGTAAAGCTCTGTCACGTGGCCAAAGACAAGTGCACTGACCATAGGATTCAGCACAGACAACAGAAAAGGGAGGAGGCCAGTCTGAGGTCATACAAGATCCCATGGCGTGGTGCTGACTAGACTGAGGCAAGGCGCTGGAGGGGCTGCATGCACAGATGCTAGCGGTGAGCTGTGCTCCTGGGTCTGTACACATGGTACCCGGTGGTGGGGAGGGGATGGCGCAGAAATAGCACAGCCAGGGAGGCCAGAAGCCAGTGCCACCTCCAGAGCCTGCAGCACACACCTGAGGCATGGACACAAGGCAAGGCTGCCCCTGATCTACAGTGCTGAGAGTTAACGGGGCACAGCTCACCCTGACTGCTGTGAACCACGCCAGCCCTGAGGGCACTCTCCACAGTTGGTGGTCCCACAACTGCATTTCACATATTTCCTTTCTTTTTTTTAAAGAATTATTTTATTTAACTTTATTTATTTATTTATTTTTAATTTGACCAGAGAGGGACAGAATGAGAGAGAGAGAGGGAGAGAGAGAAAGTGAGAAAGCAAGCCGCCAGGTCTGGGACTCAAACCGTGGTCGGCCATGTGGAAATCTAGCGCCGGCCATGTGGAAATCTAGTGCCCTTAACCACCATGCCACCTGTTGGCCCCTTGCATATTTTCTTCAAACCACCTGTCAATGTCCAGTGTTACTCTGCAGAGTTGCTGCATTATTTCACAGGGCTTTCTTCTTCTTCTTTTTTGAGATTTTTGCTATAGGATGCGTGTGCTGGCCAGAAACAGAAAGTGAGAAATCATTCCCCAGGAGGGATGACCAAGCCACAATTCCTTCTCCTCCAGGGATTCTGGGCACACATACACATGTGCCCAGTCCGAGTTTCAAGCTGCTGGGTTCAGGATTCAAACCATGGTTGGCTATGTGGGAGTTCAGCACCTTAACCACTACACCACCTGCTG